TTCCCGTGCTCTGTGTGTTGATATTCCATGTCAGTGGATGTTCCCGTGCTCTGTGTGACTGTTCCAAGTCAATGGATGTCCCCATGCTCTCTATGTCAATATTCCATGTCAGTGGCTGTTCCCGTGCTCTGTGTGTTGATATTCCATGTCAGTGGATGTCCCCATGCTCTGTGTGACTATTCCAAGTCAATGGATGTCCCCATGCTCTCTATGTCAATATTCCATGTCAGTGGCTGTTCCCATGCTCTGTGTGGTGATATTCCAAGTCAGTGGATGTCCCTGTGCTCTGCGTGTGACTCTCCCAAGCCCGTGGCCGTTCCTCCCTCGGCATTCCCAGCCCGCTGACCTCGCTCCCGTTGCTCTTCCCTTGCAGCCCGAGCGCTTGCAGGGCACTCACTACTCGGTGCAGTCGGACATCTGGAGCATGGGGCTGTCCCTGGTGGAGCTGTCGATCGGAAGGTACCCAATCCCCCCGCCAGACTCCAAGGAACTGGAAGCAATATTTGGCCGTCCTGTGGTGGACGGGGCGGAGGGAGAGTCCCACAGCGTCTCGCCGCGGGCCAGGCCCCCAGGACGCCCCGTCAGTGGTAGGGGCTGTGGTGTGACTGCAACCAACACCTCACGTGTGGGGGAACGAGGGGCTGGGGGCTGGGAGAGCCGCAGGAGGAGGAGGAGGAGGCTGTGCCGGGAAAGGAGTGGTTTTTTTAGGGAGGCCGCCTCGATGCTCCGACCGCGGAGGTTTGGAACCGCCGGGCGAGGCAGGCGGGGTCCGGGCGTGCGTGGGGAGGTGGAGGTGGCATCCCAAATCCGTCCTTTGGACCCTGCTGTGTCCCCTCTGCTGGGAATGGTGCAGGCTGTTGGAATGTGAACCACTTGGAGGGGCAATGCCACAGCCCCTGGCGCTCCCCCGGCAAGTTCCTTTCAAGCCCGAGGCGGTTTTTTGGGAAGAGCTTTGCTGGGAGCTCTCACAAGAGCACCAAAGGAGCACTGGGGTTCTGAGGAGGCTCTGCTGGAGCCACTCCCTTGGAAGCAGAAGGCACCATCAGCAGCAGATGGTGCTCTCCAAGTGCTCCGAGCTAGGAAATAAATCTGGGCTGTGCAGGCCTGGTGAAAGAAACCCGAAATTTTGGAATGTGGTTGGTTTTCTCTTTAACCACAACTCGGTTCCCCGGCGAGTCGCCTCTGCCTCTCCCAGCAGGAGTCCCACAGGCACGGCCTGCACACAAAATTTAAGTCCTTTGCTGTCCCCAAACAGTCCCTGACCACTGTTTTTGTCACCTTCCCCACGCAGGCCACGGGATGGACAGTCGGCCTGCCATGGCCATCTTTGAACTGCTGGATTATATAGTTAATGAGGTGGGTGTTTGTTTTCCACGGGCATTCCAGAGGTGCCAGAGTGATGTGTCCACTCTGCTGAGTCAGGGTGGGCTCGGAAATGTTTGTTAGTCGTGGAATCCCGGATTGGTTTGGGTTGGAAGGAGCATAAAGCTCATCCAGTGCCACCCCCTGGATGGCAGGGACACCTTCCACTATCTCAGGTTGCTCCAACCTGGCCTTGGACACTTCCAGGGATGGGGCAGCCACAGCTTCTCTGGGAAATCCATCCCAGTCCCTCACCACCCTCCCAGGGAGGAATTCCTTCCCAATATTCCATCCA